GAGAGAGAGAGAGAGAGAGAGAGAGAGAGAGAGAGAGAGAGAGTCTGAATTAGGCATTAGATACACCAAAGTAGCGCAATACTTTTTATCTAAGCCGAAATGTGACAACTTTTCCATTCGCTATTTCGACTGTCATATTTTCGATCCAATTGTCTGTAGGCCAATAAATGCTTAGTATTGTTCCCCTACGGCACAAAGTTGCACAAAAGTTACAGTAACATCGCAGCAACTTTTGTACAACTTTGTGCTGTAAGTGAATAATACTAAGCGCTTATTGTTACGATACAATAAGCGCTTAGTATTATTATATATAGCACAAAAGTTGCAGTAACATTGTTACAGCAATAATTGCAGAGATTTTGCAGCGATATTATTACAAATATTAATATATGTATAGCTAAACATAGATTCTGAATGTGTGACAACATTAATCAATAAATTATTTCAATCGTCAAATTTAAGTCATTTATTCAGTTATTTTATTACCTTTCATTATCACAATTTCTTTAATTATCTAGCCGAAATATGACAACTTTTCTGGCCATTTTCGACTGCCATTTTCGATCTAATTGTCTGTTATTCTTCTACAGCACAAAAGTAACATTGCATGTTATAGCAATATTGCAGAGATTTTGCAGTGATGTTATTACAAATTCTGTGCTGTATGAGTTGGTACATGATATGGTTAGTAAGTCCAAAATGGAGGATCTTTGCGCTACTTTGGTATATCTTTAGATACTTCCGTCTATTAGCGATACCGATACGAACTCGCAATTGCCACGCTCGCGAGATATCGCCGCGTATTTTAATCGCACGGCGGATAAGAAGATATTCTCTATTCTGCGCCGCAATTAAAAACGCCCGTAATTAAAAATAGAAGTAAGGCGTTTTAAGAATAAATATATAAAAACCGAGGGGACCAATCGATTATATTATCATTTACGTTTTTCAAGTATTTTAGTAAACAACACTGACAAAATAATTACTAAATCTTACTACATATTTCTTAGAATGGTACCAAGTAGATACTTACAGTAAATGAATATTTACTCTATGAAAAAATATAGAGTTAAATCAAAATAATAGTTTTTGTATTAATTAAACATACATTTATGCTTAGTAAATATTTACTCAGAACTATTCAAACAAATATTTACTAAAATTTAGTATTTTTTTGTTGTCTTTCAGTGAAAGACGAAAGAGATCGGGAAATAATTTGCGACGAAATCGCGAGTACTATTCTTATCCACGGTGCGTCGGTACATATATGCACGCTGTAAAATGTTGATATTGTCGATATTTATTGCCGGTTGTCGCTTCCAGTGTCTCGGGATCGACGTGACGGTCGCAAAGACCGCCCACGCCTGAGTATCTTTCGTATTTTCTCTTTCCTCTCGCGCAAAACTAGTTGTTTGTGTTAGAGGCTAGAGTGAAGTGGCTTACCGCCTTGTTCGTCCAGCATTACGAGAGATTTCATCCCGACCTCGTGGCTCTAAACAGGCAACCGACAGGCAATCAGGCGGCGTGTTAAACATTGAGGTAAAGTTAATCGCCGTCGGGACGCTCCCTCGCCTCGCTCCACGCGGCGATCCTCAACGCCACCCCCAAATAAAGAAGAAAAAAAACATTCCCCCCGCCATGTTCGCCTGTGCCAGACGCGGGGAGAAACGTGAGGGAGAGACGTGAGACAGAAAGAAAATGACGGAGAAAGAGATAGAGATGAGAAATGTCGGCGGGCGAGAGGGCGCGGACGACGAATTTCGGCCTCAGTTAATCAATTTATTATGCATATCAGGAGGTTGGATGGACGCGAGGATGGATGACGACGTGACGATTGTCGACGAATGCTGGCAAAATGAGGGTTCAACGATGATAATGAAAGAGGAGACCGGAACGATAAAGGAACGCGTAGGAGAGTCCACCCTGCGCATTACTTTTTTTCCTAATTAATTTCAGAAAGGTTGGATGAAATGACGAGGATATTATTTTCTACTAAGTATAATTAATAGCAATTAAAAGTTAAGATCTAAAAGGGGGATAAATGGGTGGCGACGTACGAGATCTTCATACTTCTGGATGAGTTATTCGATGGGAGATCCTGGTAATTGGTAGAAAATTTTTCTCGCGAATTTCAGAGGATGAACGAAAAACTCGATGAACAGAACGCGCATGAAAGAGAGCGATATATTTTAAACACTCAGGAGTGAGAAATGAAAGGTGTTAAAAATGTAGGATGAAACCTACGCGGTTTCCCGTAACGAGAGTTTATGATCTCATGAATTCGATGCTGATAATCTTTCGCACTCACATCTGCATATTTACACATACATATGCAATGAACATTCAAATTCCTAATGATACACGAATAAATGAGTTGCTCGTAAACTTTATGACGTACGTAAAAAATTACATATGTATCAAGGTATGTACAGAAAATTACTCTAAATTGACGATATTCCGATCGAGCGAGCACATTTCGTGTAGCTTCCAATAAAGAACGTGAAATTGCTTATTTCTATGTATTTCAAAATAAATTTCGAATGTTGCATTCGAAGGAATAAGCTTTTCCAACGATCTTCTGATATGCTCTTCGATATATTACAGGCGGAGAATATCAAATTTCTGAGTGCGAACGATTCCGTCTCGACTGATGACGCACCTCGTAGAAGTAAACGGACACCAGAGCAGAGCAAAGCTAGAGAGGAAGGTGGCGAAGGCGAGAAAGATAGAGAGAAAGAGAGGCAGAAGTATAGAAAAAGGTAAAAGGATAGCGGGTTCCACTCGACGCGAGTTGTCCTCCGCACAGTAGACATCGATAGAGTATCATGCCGCTGAAAGATATGGTACTGGAGATACGGTGTCAGGGATCGGGGGACAAGATCGAGGTAACGAATGGAGTTCCGTTCGGGTGCCCTAGATAAACCTAGGTGGGAGGCCTAAAAGCGACAACGTCGCTTAGGTGGTTCGACATCGATGACGGCACGGTCGTTCGATCTTTCACCTATCCCCAGTTCCGCTGGCCGTCATCGTGGCAGTCTCACTTGTTACCTCTACCCGGATGATACAGCGAATGGGTCATTGTCACTCTCAGCGAAGGAGAGAATCGACTGCACGGTTAATTCGCCGTACACGACTCAGGTACTGATCGTGTTGATTCGAGTCTCACAACTGTAGACAATTGTATACATATTCCACAAGATGTTATTAAATAAAACAAAGCAAATATCAACCACTAATCGACCCTTAAACACCTTTCCACGTTCCCAGTGACCCAGGGACACGTACAGTTACAATATTACAATTCTAATTGTATTCGAAGATCACAATTAAATTGTAATATTATGTTTAGAAAAGCACTTGAGATTAATAATAATATAAACAAATGTGCAAAGTTTTATGTAAATGTCCGGATCGTTTACTGGGACTTTATCTGACTTTTTTCCACTACTTTTTCCATTGCTTATAATTTTTCATCAATAAAGATACATGCATTTGCTTGGTATTATTATATTCCTCCAATGTCTGGCGTTTCGAGTGAAACAAATTATTTACAGTGTTTCATTTTTATGAAAGTTACAAGCAATTGGGTTGGGCCTGCCATATCCAAGTGTGTTGTTCCATGTAATGTGGTGTTTAAGGGTTAATGAAAGCAAAAATGAGATGTTTCTCAATCGCAGATATCGTTAATATTCCGTTCTATTTACGAAAGAAAAAAACCTAAAATATTCCTGAATCTTCTGGTCGACCGTTCACAGTCGATTCTTTATTTCGCACGACTTTATCAGGATTCCGGTAAATCAGGATCACGCATTAGAAGCCCAAAGGGGAACGCAAACTGACGGCTAATGAAGGGCGTTCTTTACTTCGCGCCAGCTTTTTTCCCTCTCTTTTCTTGTTACACGTTAATCCTCCTTTTTTTTTTTTTTTTTCATATCGACGTTTTATACGTCGTCGAACTATCGCATCGCTCGCTCGTTCTTCGCAGAATAGAGAGATAGAGAGACAAAGAGAGAGAGAAAGACAGTGACTTATTGATGTTTACTGGGAGACTGCTTACCGCCTTGGTGGTCTAACATCGTCAGAGTGTTCGCTCCGATCTCCTCGGTCTACGACAGGTTCGAAGGTGCCACACATTAACGGAAACGAAAGAATCGTTTTTCTCAGTGGATGCGTGCGAGAATTAACTGCAGAACAAAGTCACAGACAAGAAAGCAACAAAATCGCAGGGGCACGTCCCGTCGGACTGAAAACGACGATTTCTGCGCGGTAGCAGAAACGTTATCGTTCGTAAAATAATAAAGCTACTACACGTGACCAATCGTTCGTTGCAATTGTGTCGCAAGTTGCGTTTATCGATATAAAAAAAAAAAAAAGAAAAAAGAAAGAAAAGGAAAAATCGCGCTCTCCTCGATAGAACGTGCCGCGCGTAACGAACAGATAATAATATGTTCATTAAAGTCAAACAAATAAGTAATAATAAGTAATAATAATAATAATAATAAATAATAATAATGTGTTAAAAATAGTAAGAAGGTTAATAAGAACGATGAGATAACCGAGATAGCGATCCAGAGGCAGCTCGTCGTGTCAATGTCTCTGAGATATCATACGTACATGATCCTAATCGCAACGATGTAACCATAATCACCTCACCCACCTCCTCATAGGCCAATTGCAGTCATTCAGTCACATTTTAGTTAAATTACTTATTTTTATGTATTAACCCTCCACTACAAGAATAAGCCACGTGGACCCAAACCAACATTTCTGGACAATTGTACAATCTGTATGATTGATTACTATGAGATTTTAAGCTGCGAGTAAAATAACTTTGAACTTTTGACTTCCTCTATCAATCGCCGTAAGGTGGAGGTTCACTTGCATTCTGTACTTCAAACAGGACGTATTAAAAATTTACGAGTATTTTTCAGTTACAGTTGAAGGTTAATAATAAAATTTCCTAAACAACGCGGATTCACTGACGGCAATTATTCAAATCAGCTGAGTTCCCAAAAAAGGGCTCAATTTAAGAACTGAGATTACCTGGCATGAAACCATCCCCCAATTCCTCAATAATCAATTCTAATCGAATTTCCCTCGCATCGCAATCGCGATCGATCAGCCGCGACTGCAACCGGTTTCTGCATTTAGCGCTTACGATAGAAGTTGCAGCAAGAATAAAGAGATAACAACGGTGATAGACACGACGTCGACGATATTAAGAGTAATGACTGACGAGACGATCTAATGGAGCATAAATGGGCGAGATGCGTCGGCGACGCATGATAAAGAGAGAGATATTGATTATCGGTGAACTATAGTCCCCGCTTCTGGAGGGAAGGGGGAGGAAGTTTTCTTCGTGGATAAGAAATAGGTGTGAAAATTATTAGATTAAATCAGAGATTGCTCTTTGCTTATTTCCCCGAGGTAATCCCCCAGGATGATCTTTCGAGGGGAATTGCAAGGCAAGCTTAAACGTGAGAAAGTGATTGACTGTTGGAGGAAACTTCAAGATTTTTCGGGGTTAATCTAATAATTTTCATGCCTCCTCGTGATCTTTTTAAGGTCGTCATGTCAATTATAAGCGTTCAAGCGACTGTCGCCGGTGCGTCTCTTGAGACTCTTGAGAGTCAACGCGTATTTAGGCGAATATTAACGCATTAAACCGGCCAGATAATAATGAAAAGATGATAACGATAGCAACCACGACAACGACGACGACGACGACGACGACGACGACGACGATGGCGATGGTCACTTAATTACTCTCGCCGTGCTAATCGGTGATTAGCGTGATTGGCGCGATCGCGCCGAGCGGAGTTTCTTGGCGACGTTTCGCTTTCTTGTTAATCTACTTCGTTCCGATCTCAATTGGACGACCAATTCTCGATTCTCACACACAAACGCGTTATATCTATATATAATAATAACACATATATAGTCCTTCCTGATAACGTATATACACCGCGCACATTACATTTCGGCCAGCGACTCGAAGTCAAAGCGGGGACAGTATCTACTTTGGTAAGACGACGGCCGACAGAAAGTAAGTATAAGTTGCACGTTTGATGCACAGATTGCAACAAGAAAAAGAGGAAAAATAAACAAGGAGAGATACAGAGAAACGGAAGGCAGACAGACAGAAAGAGGGGTGAGTGAGAGAAGATATTAGGTTACAAAAGAGAGGAGTGGAATAAAATAAGTTACGACAGACAGACAGATATCTACTGTCACAAGCGTTTACGAGAATTACGGGTTATATACTTTCTTGATATGTACACTAGATAGACAGATACATGTTAATATGTACATACATAAAGAGAAATATATATGTATGTAGTTACATATATATTGAACAAAAAAAAAAAATATATATATATGTATATTTTACACGTAGACTGAAAGCGACACAGCTGTAAGCTTCGCGAATGGCTACAGTATACAAAATACAGTAAAGAGATAAGTACACAGTCCAGAGAATTACAGCGTGTATCTTGTGAAGTGTGGATCGATCGGGGTAATTGCGACACGAGTGCGACATCGCGACACTTTCAATGATTAACGAAGCAGATGGCGAAAGTGATGCTGAAATCAATTGATTTCAAAATATTCGCCCATAATCGCTTTATGGCGAATCACTTTGTGGTAAATCGATCGTTTAATTGACGGCTATTGCCGGTCGAGAATTATGACGATAATGATTATTATGGTTTCACGTAATAATATTATCTCGATATAATTTGCCTTGTTACACTATAATAAGTTATTATAACGTAGATTATTACTTACTATCAGTAGTACTATCTAAACCTTTTAGAAGGAATCGTCACTCTCTGAAGATTAAAAATTGAGCTACTGCCTTTCAAGAGTGGCTCAATTTTCACTCTCTAAAGTGATGTTCCACTCCAAAGGATTTAGAGAGTGCTGAATTATCTAGAATAAAATACGATAATGCACTTGTGAGTATCGAAAGTTGTCGCGATGCCTAATTCGTGGGACTGTCCCAATTATTCCGATACGTCCCGTATACGGAAGCAGACGCGATAACAGCGTTCGATAGGTGAGAAAGAGTGTGCTTGGCACGCTTTAAAATTTCACCACATCTGAGAAAGGATATGAAGGGCCGCGAGGAGGAAAATTCGAAGTGCACGATAAAATCATTTTCAGATGTCGTTATTGTATTTCGCTGCACGCGAACGCATTTAGCGTGTCATGTGGATGGCAGAAAGTATTTGAGATCTTCTACAGAAAGAGTGAGAAAGAAAGGGAGCGAAGTGGGAAGGGTGAATGTGTGAGTGTGAAATCGGTTTACATAGAAAAAAAAAAGCCAAAAAAAAAAACGGAAACGATCACGATAGAATACACCATCCAAACAACAGCTGTTCATTATACACGAGAGCAATCGGATCTCGTTAAGCGGTTCCTACAAGCGGTCCAACAGTCTGCGCGATAAGAAAGACAAATTGTGGACAAATTACAGGGTAAGATACCTAATTGAGGTAGAAGATCAACATCAGATCAGAGGGATGGTCTACAGAGCGGTATTAAGATAGAGATGTATACGTGAGAGATAAAGGCTGTCAAAATATCGATATACGTCAATAAAAATATATCTGTATTGAGCTGCAAAGTTAATAGTATGCAATTATGCAATTATGATGCCTGTTTGCGACAATAATCCGCGCAGATTGTTGGATCGTGTACGAGCCGCGTTTCGCGTCAACGCTGGCAAAATAGCAGCAGCGATAGCAGCAGCAGCAGCAGCAGCGATGACTGATTCATTGCTGGAGGCACATTTTCGCGTCATGTATATGTTGTGACCGACAATGTAATGTCGTGAGAATTTCTCCTATATATATATAACGTTAGACTTCTTAATAATGTCGGTGGTGAGAACATGTAGTGGCACGCACAGAATAAAAAATGGGCCTGAATTGAATTCGCGTTACAGTCGCATGAGCTGCATTCGTCAGGTCGTCAGGAAAAAAAGAAATTTCATGTGCTAAAATTTAACAGAGTCAAAAAAAGAGATTCTTTCCATTCCAATAAGAGATAATAAAAAATCGAATATTTAGTAAATCTATATATGGGATTGACGAGTTAATGAAAATTTTCCTCAACGACCCAAGACGCAGTCTAGGCGTAGTGTAATGGTACAAGTAGTAACGTTAGTAATATTAGCAGTATCAGTAGTGTCAGTAATGGCGATATGGTGTTGTAATCAGTATAGTAATCGTAGTAGATTCGACAGTAATGGTATACAACTTGCGATTGTGCAGTGGCAGTTGGCTGTCGATCTCTCTAATCGAGATTGCTAATCGGTCGCGAAATGATCCTCATTCATTGTTGATATCCTACTGTGGCGTAAGGACGATCGTTCCCGTCTAAGCTTTCTTAGAAACGTATAAGAGGCGATTAAGGGAGAGCAAAGCTAAAGCGGAACCAACGGGGTTGATCCGTTCACGTTAGAAACGTTAAATCGTTAAACCGCGTCGAAACGAAGTAATTTCAGGCGCATTTATGGTAGATAAACCGAGCGTAAATTTATCGATATATTTTCGGAGAGCAGAGTTCAGAATTGAACCCCATTCTCGCTAAAAAAAAAAGACCTTCGGAGGTTCTTTTCAAATTTTTACGTTGACGTTTTACGCCAATGTTTATAGTACAAATTGTACCTCTCGCGAGAACTCCACGTACCGTCTGCGTCTGCGAGATCCGGCGCTGCCGAATTACCCGTACAAACGTTTGCTGAAGCGGGACGTGCTAATATCCGGCGCATGCACATCGATCGTAATTAACGCGGATGATTGTTCGAGGATAGCAGTCCCCAATATCCGTAATACCTCGGGCCCCGGCAGGACTGAGTATGTTAATAGAATAATTTCCGTCTTGTTAACAGTTACAACCCGCGAGCATTTCGACGCATTGACTCGAGATTCATTAAATTAACCCTTTCGGTCGTTTTACAAAGAAATTGTTTCGCTCTCGTAAGAAAATTTAATATCCGCGAATATGAAATATATAAATATCTCTTCAGCTTTTCTGGTGCGCCAGGATCTTTCTTTGTATTAAGAGCCTTCGTCGTGTGTACGACCGGAAGAGTTCA